GGGCTGGCCCCGACCCTGCATCGGCAGCACCGCAAATCCGAGACTCCCTCGTCTCATTGCGGCCCGTGGAATGTATTCAATAACAACAACAAGCAAACAAATGTACAGAACGTAAACATTTTACCGGGTTTACGATTTAACTTAGTTTTTTTTTTTACGGGTTAATATGTGGCGTTCAGTCGAGTTAAGCGTATTTCGGTAAATCTGCCCTACCCGCCGATCAAGTACAGGTGGTGAGGTGTCAGATGATGGAGGAGGTCAGTGATGGAGAGGTGGTGGGGTGATGGTCGGTGGGTGATGGAGAGGTGGTGGGTGATTATTAATCGGCGAATTATTCGTTGAGGATCGATGAGTCTAGGGTTGGGAGGGGCAGGGTGGCTGGAGGAGTGATGAGTCTGGGAGCAGAGGGATGATCCAGTGGGGGGATGAGTTGACGCGTGGGTGGGGGGACATTAGTGGTGTGGGGGTGGGTGGTCAGACCTTGATAGAATGAAAGCGCTCGCTCCGACCATGCCAGCATAGAAAGCTTCCTCTCACCCCCCTCACTCAGCTCACTCCTCTCACTCAGCTGACTCAGCGGACTCAGCTCGCCCGAGATCGGCGGCGGCGCTGGTGGCAGCAGCGGCAGCGGCAGTGAAATCATCTCAGCAGCCTCGGGACCATGGGCTCTCGCGCGGGAACCGCGGGCTTCTGCCGCGAGATGTGGTCCGGGTTCTTTGACTACGAGACGCCCAAGACCATGGTGGTGAAGAGCCGCAAGCTGGGGGTCGTCTACCGCGGGGCGCAGGCTCTCATCCTCACCTACTTCGTCGGGTGAGCGTGGCCACGGACTGGGCTATGGGGTTAGGGGCTATGGGGTTAGGGGCTATGGGGCTGGGCTATGGGGCAGGGTATGGGGTTAGGGGCTATGGGGTGGGGTATGGGGCTGGGGTATGGGGTTAGGGGGTATGGGGTTAGGGGGTATGGGGCAGGGGTATGAGGTAGGGGTATGGGGCTGGGGTATGGGGCAGGGGTATGGGGCTGGGTATGGGGTTAGGGGGTATGGGGCAGGGGTATGGGGCCAGGGGTATGGGACTGGGGTATGGGGCAAGGGTATGGAGTAGGGTATGGGGTTAGGGGGTATGGGGCAGGGGTATGGGGCAGGGGTATGGGTTAGGGTGTCGGGCTAGGGTATGGGGTTGGGGTATTGGGCAGGGATGTGGGGATCGAGGGAGGGCAGCAGTGGGGCAGGGAGAGGTCGCAGAGAGAGGACAGAGAGAAGGAGAGGGTCGGAGTATGGTCTGACAGAGGGCAGCGGTATGGGTAGGGAGAGGGGCAGGGAGAGGGGGGGCAGTGGTTGGGGCAGGGAGCGAGGGCAGGTAACTCCATACACACGAAAACCCGTGTACGTGAACCAGTCTGTGCCCCCCGCCCCCCCCCCCCCCCCAGTCTACGCACCTCGACTACGTCCACTCGTTCTCATATGCCCCATCTCCTCATCCCCTTTCTGCACCCCCCATCCCATACCCCACCGTGGACGCCACGGTGGCTAGGAGATGTTCACTTCCTCGCCTGTTATACAGGAGGTCGTGAGTTCGATCCCGACCCTAACGCCTGTTGTACATTTGGAGTCTGCGCGTCTCTGTCTCTACCCGTGGTCGCGTTTTTTTTATTCTTCTTCGGGTGCCTCCGTTTTTTTCCCCCCTCCACATTTAAGAATGATCTTCGCGCGTTTCTAGTATTTGGTTGTTGTGCATTTTCCACGTGATGATGATGATGAGCCACTTCGTAGAGCTATCATTTGTTATTGACAGGTCGCTTCGGAAAGATATCTGTGTAGCTCAGCGGGCCTGACCTGATAAACAACACAAACCCCCCTCTAGAACCTCCTCGTGTCGAGGCCCCCTTCCGCCAGCAGCGACGTGAGCAAGTTGTTGCGGGGCTGCGCCTAGCTCAGCGCGTGAAAACCATGGACCACTTTTCCCCTCCCACCTTTGCATGAGAACGTCTTGGCTGTATACCGGTGGTGTGCGGCAAAAGAAAAAAAACGTAAATGTTCGCAATGTTGATTTATTTATTATCCCGCGAATCGTAATCCCAGTCAGAAAATCCTGCGGGGTGGTGTTGGTGCGAGTCGACATCAGTTCTCGTGATGTCGAAGCAGTCGGGTTGGAGGAACGTTGTTGTTACGAGCGGCTGAACACGAAGAAGCTTCGCAGTCTGCCTGACGACCACTGGCTGGCTCCGTGTTCACAAAGGCAACATTTGACTCCTCGTGCGCGAGACTTGGTCGAACGGCTCCTCGATTCGACGGAACGCAAATCAACGTTCAATATTGACCTTTTTTAGCAAGTCTCAGTAGACTGCGTAAACCCTCGAATCGCGTCAGACTTGGCGACGGAGAGTCACTTAAAACCTCCATAAACTATATTGCTGATAAAATTTTAATTTTAAACAGTTGTTTTAATGAGACCCGGTGTGGTCTGTTATGCTGCACACGATATACCAAGTAGCTCAAGCAGGCCCCATTGTGTGACGCCCCCGTTGTGTCTCCCCGCCACTTCCAGCTGGTGTTTTCTGACCGAGAAGGCCTACCAGACGCCGAGGGGGTGAAGGAGGTTTCCGTCATCTCAAAGGTCAAGGGGGTCACTGCGACCAACGGTAGCGACTTGAGGGCGCGCGTGTGGGACGTGGCGGTACGTGATGCCCCCACAGGTGAGCGGTGGCGGTGCACACGCAGGTGAGGTGAGGGTTACAGGTGTGTGGACAAGGTGGAGGTGGTTGTGATGGGGTGGCAGAGAAGGTGAGGGTTACAGGTGTGTGGACAAGGTGGAGGTGGTTGTGATGGGGTGGCAGAGAAGTGAGGTGAGGGTTACAGGGTGTGTGGACAAGGTGGAGGTGGTTGTGATGGGGTGGCAGAGAAGGTGAGGTGAGTTTACAGGTGTGTGGACAAGGGTGGAGCGTGGTTGTGATGGGGTGGCAGAGAGGTGAGGTGAGGTTAAGGTGTGTGGACAAGGTGGAGGGGGTGTGTGGCAGGTGAGAGGTGGTTGTGATGGGGTGGCAGAGAAGGTGAGGTGAGGGTTACAGGTGTGTGTGGCAGGTGGGAGGTGGTTGTGATGGGGTGGCAGAGAAGGTGAGGGTGAGGGTTACAGGTGTGTGGACAAGGTGGAGGGTGTGTGGGCAGGTGAGAGGTTGTGTGTGATGGGGTGGCAGAGAAGGTGAGGTGAGGGTTACAGGTGTGTGGACAAGGTGGAGGGGGGTGGTGGGCAGGTGGGAGGTGGTTGTGATCGGGTGGCAGAGAAGTGGGGTGAGTGAAACGGGTGAGGTGAGGGTTACGGTGAGTGGACAGATGGAAGGTAGTGTGTGGGCAGTGAGAGGTGGTTGTGAGGAGGTGGCAGAGATGGTGAGGTGAGTTTACAGGTGAGTGGACAGGTGGAGGGGGTGTTGTGGACAGTTGACGTCAGTGGACAGGTGACGTGTCAGTGAAGGTGTTCTATAAATATGAAATTAGATGAGATGAGATGTAACAAAATCCAAATTTCAACAATACAAACTTAAAATATATGTTTAAGATTCACAGTATACAACCAATCGCGCAGTTGTTACTGAATCCCCCCGTATCCCCCGTGTCTCACAATGTCCCCTGTGGCCACCCATGTCCCCCCATGCCCTACCCCCCATGTCCGCCTTTGTTCCCCAATCTCTCCCCCCCATGTCCCCCCCCATGTCCCCCGCATTACCCCCCACGCCCCCCCCCTCATGCTCCCCAATATCTCTCCAATGCCCCCGCCCCCCCCCCGCTGCGCAGGGCACGGACAGCTTCGTGATCATCACCAACGTGCTCGAGACGCCCATGCAGTCGCTCGGAGTGTGTCCCGAGGTGAGTGAGGAGTGGTGAGTGAGGAGTGGTGAGTGAGGAGTGGTGAGTGAGGAGTGTGCCCCCGTTCGAGTGAGGAGTGTGCTCCGAGGTGAGAGAGATCCATAGACTCGCATAGAGATCCATAGACTCGCATAGAGATCATAGACTTGCCAGTGTCTCGTTGCAACATTGTGCCAAATCTGACCGTTATTACTCGCAAATTAGATCAAAATAAAACACAATGACCACATCATTGCCACTCTCCACCCCTACTGGAAGATTGACTATACCTGCCTGTGGGGCATGACGCTTTCGCGACAGCTCCGCACCGTACGGACATCCGCGAATATCAAAACCACCGCCGTCGAGTTCCAACAAAATCATCGACGGAATCCGCCCGTAATCACGATGTCTCATTGTTACACGCCGCCGCCGCCGCACAGCGTTCGCCTCGCTCTCGTAGACGGATGATTTACGTTCAGCTATTCGTACGTGCAATATTAACGGGAAATACGTTGGGGAATAGAATGGGAGGTGGGAGCGGTGGTGCAGTGGTTCACGCATCGTGCTGTGACCTATAGGCGACCTGAGTTTGTTTTGATGTCACCAGGTAAGGCCCACACTGAGCTATTGCAGCTCTTTTTTCCCGAAGCGACCTGGCCGTCACAAATGATAGCTCAACGAAGTGGCTTATCATCGTGTGGGACTTTATAGCAGCCGAATACTCTAAACGCGTGATGTTCATTCTAAATGTGGAGGGAACAACCAGAGGACCCGGAGAAAATCCACGTGACCACGGAGAGAGAGAGAGGCATGCAAACTCCAAATATACAGCAGCAGGTGTCATGGTCGGGATCGAACGCACGACCTCGTGTTTACCAGGCGAGGTAGTTAACATCTCCTAACCACAGAGGAGCGGGGGAAAGGGAGCAACAGCAACAGCCACGTGGTTTAGCTGGTGCCAACTTCCCCTGCGAGCTCTGCGGTCCTCTACGCATTAAAGTGTTAACGGCCAAATGAATGAGCGTTCACACGCGGGATTAAACGAGAGGACCCAGAAGAAGGGGAAAAAGAACAACACCCACGCGTGCGAAGATGTAACGGATGGAGTCCGCATTTGCTGTCCCGGACTGCACCTCCGATTAGCACCTGTTGGCCACGTACGGTGCGAAAGAAGTTCAACTGCACATGCACACTGTCACGCCCGGCGAGCCAGCGTTATGGCTCTTCCTGGTCGCTCGCCGACTGATAGCAAAGGGAGTCACGGAACAGCCGCAGCGTGATGCACCACCCCCTCGCAGCTGCCTCCGCAGCGCTGGACTCGAGTCAGCCACGCGCAGCACGGCCACCGCCCGCCGTCAAAATCGTTTGACGGTCGGCGCGATGGATAACAGATGCGACGGTGACGCAGGAGTCGAGAGCGAGGACCCTTCCGCGAAGCTGCGGTGCGTGCGAGTGCGCATTCCTTGCGCACTATCTAACACTCGATCTAGCAGCGCATTGTGTTTACACCAGCGGCCTCTGGAATGGTGGGGCGAGTGGGCGCGGTGTGTTGGGGGTGACGATGGTGGCAGTGGTGGTATATGTGATGGTGGTGATGGGAATGGGGGGTGCGGCGATGGTGTGATGGTGGTGGTAGTAGTGGTCGTATGGGTGATGATGGTGGTGCAGGTGACGGGTCGCGTTGGGTGGGTGATGATGGTGGTCGAGGTGATGGTCGTGGTAGTATGGGTGATGATGATGATGGTGGAGGTGACGGTGGGGAGGAGCAGTGTAGCGGTTAGCGCTACGCTGCGCTACGAACCCAGCGACCCGAGTTCGATTACCGCTGATGGCCAACTCCAGTCACGATTATCTGAACCGGTCTTGGGCCTCCCCTGTGTCGACTCAGCCTCAATGAGTACATGGTGCTGTGTGTAATCATCGCCGCGAGGGAGACAAAGGCGGCCGGGCGTGGTGCTAGCCACCCCACCCACTTAGGTGCCATAAAAAGTCAGTTAAAGTCCAGACGGGGAATCTTTGTCTTTTAGAGGTGACGGTAGCGGTGATGATGATGATGATGGTGGTGGTTGTGATGATGGTGCTTGTGATGATGATGGTGGTTGTGATGATGATGATGGTGGTTGTGATGATAGTGATGATGGTGGTGGTTGTGATGATGATGGTGGTGGTTGTTGCGATGATGATGATGGTGGTGTCGTTGACGTCACGGTTAACGACGCTGACTTAAGCGACGACTGCGCTGTTTACATCGCTCCCGCGAGCACCGATTGTGACCCAGCACGCCTCTGGCTCCCGTCCGTAACGACTGCAAGGAACAGGGCTCGGCTTAGGGAAGGCAATTAGCGAGGGGAAGCGCCCTGGGGGGAGGGGGGGTGGCGTGCGTGAGCGGTCGAGATGGTTCGGGAGAGAGGATTCAGAGCGAAGGAGGAGGATTAGGGTGGAGGGTGGCAATTACGCGAGGAAGTCGTCCTGGGGAGAAAGATGTGATGATGATGGGATGGGGGGGGGCTGTCCAGGGATTAGGGGGATCAGTGGGATGGGGAACAGGGCGTGGTGGAGGGGGGCGGGGGTTACAATGATGGAACTGTCGATGCTAACGCCGTTTAAAACCTCTCACTGAGCAATCAATCGCGTTCGTGAATTCCAATGCCTCCGATATCGCGCGCGCGTGGCGTCTGCCGGGCTGATACGGGGGGGACGCTATTCGTTACGGGCCAATTTGCGGGGTCTGTTTACCTGCACCCGATACCCCCCCAGCGAGGAAGTTGGGGTAGAGGGGGGGCACCTGAACGACCCCCCCCCCACCACCACCCTACCCCCGCCCTGTGTTGGTGTTGCTGTTAGTCCGTGTGTGCAAACTTACGACGCGAGGCGGATCGCATATCCGACGCCGCGTGACTTCCCTGCAGCCACTCAATCGCACCAGGGGGAATTCATTAATGCTCGTCTGTTGTGCGCGAGTAGAGTAAAATATAATTCATCATCGTGATCATAATAATAGTATTATACAAAACACTCACTCGGTTAAATCTTGACTTAAAGCTTTCGTGAATGTAGGAATTCATATTCTTTTGATCTTTCGGTAAAGCCACGTAGACGTAAAAAAATACCCCCTTTTCCTGAAGACGACCGCTTGTGTTGCGATCGAAACGTCGATATTTTTGGTTATTTTTTTTCTGTCCACGTGGCGCTACCGAAAGACCCAAAGACTTCTCACTCGGTCTCGAGACTGTTGGGGGTTTTTTTGTTTGCGCAGACGTCCTGTTGCTTTGGTTGGGTGGGATGTTTGGTGCACTGTTTGTGGGTGGTATGGTGGGTGCGTTGGTGGGTGGGTTGGTGGTTGGGTGTTAAGGTGGGAGGCCAGGTGGGGTGGGTGTGAACGTGGCGGAGGTAATCATGGTGGCTGGCTAGGTAGGTTGCAGGGCAGAGAGGTTGGTGAATATTAACGTAAGTATGCCGACATTTAAGTGGATGTTTTGGTATACTGTCCTGTATATATGTATAGATAGCTGGATGGTTTGGTGGTAGGGGTGTGGGTAATAGTGAGAGGTTTATGTTTATATATTTTTTTAAATAACCAGGTTATAAATCTAGAGACCAGAATGAGTCGTTTTTGTACTGTGCCGGCCATCATAGGTGCTACTCGCTAACAGCACTTGCCCCAAAAGTCTGTCAAGCCTATACGGGGGGGTCTTTTTCTTTGTAATCACGTATATTTAAGTGGCTGAGTTGGTATGCGTATGGGTAGCTGGCTGGCTGGCTAAGGAGGGTGGCTGGATGCTGATACGGTGGTCGGAGTGCCTTTAAGCGACTTAAAAATCTGTCCGCCACATTCATACCCACCCACCTCTCCTCTCACCTATCCACCCACCTCTCCTCTCACCTATCCACCATGCCACCCTAAATTGGCCAAACATCCCAAATGCAACGGGAGTCCTGTGACATTTTTTTTTTCTTAAAACTCTCTGTGACTGTTTATTATTCATTAGAATATTTATAAATATTTTATTTACTCGGGCAAAATCGATGGAGAATTGGCTTCGGGTCGAGAGAAAACCTCCACCGCGCATGCGACGGAGCAGCACGTAACGCTCCGCACAGATGGATTCAACAATCCATCGCCGTATCGCCAGCGAAGTGTCGACCCCGCAGCCCGCGCCGGGCAAACACGAGTGCGTCATCCGAGTCATAACCGGGTTCAGATCCGGGTTAGCTTCCGAGAATTTGGCGAGATTGCTTCGGTCGGAGGTAAATGGCGTTGGCCAGGCGATCTCCGTTGCAGGACCCTCCTCACAATCTCGGCTCGAGGCTCCCGCATCAGACGTACGCTTGACTCCCAAGTGTCTCTTTTCATTTATCACACGCGGCACTATCGACGGGGCATAACGTAGCACGCGCTACTATCACAGTGGCTGCAAAGAATAAACACATTCCTGCGGAGGGAGCTGGTAGGAACGTTGGGTTGCTCGGTCAATGGCCAGGGTCAACGGCGGCGTGGTGTATTCCGCAAATATGCCCGACTGTGAGGGCGGGCACAAGCCGGCGTGAGTAGGTTAAACGTTGAGTTTTATAAGGGCACAACGGGGTGACCAGCCCCTCCCCACCCAGCCCAGCCCAGCCCCACCCCTCCCACCCCCCACCCAGCCACACCCTCCCCACCCAGCCCCTCCCCACCCTCCCCACCTAACCCTCCCCACCCTCCCCACCCAGCCCCTCCCCACCCTCCCCTCTCCACCCAGCACCACCCCTCCCATTTTTGGATGCACGACGGACACAATAATCCCCTGTGGGCTGGTGGAACCAGGTGGTTCCTACCAGTATGAACGTCTCCCGTGCTGTTCCGACATCTGTCAATATAGTTGCACACTTTTATACATGCGGGGAACTTCACAAACATGTTGAGACTTCTGAGAATTTGTAACGATGCCACGAGAAACGTGCTGCCTCCGGGCTTTGCAGACCACCTGGAGAAGATTCCAGGCCACGCGTTGACAACGATGGCGAACACGCGGAGACTTTTTGAAGCTTATTAACATTACATGTGTTATCATGTTACAGTGTAGTATTATCCGTTCTTTTCCCATTAAAAACGATAGTCCCATATAAGTGTGAACCTTTTTTTTTTTAAATCACCCTGTAATATACACTTGACTCTCTGGCAGAGCTGACGGCTTCGTTTCGGCTCGTTGGTCTTGTGCCCGCCCTGGACCCACTGTGTGAGCCGTGGCCCCGAATCCAACCGAGGCGGTCCCGGCTTTAGAGCGCAGCGTACGACGAACCACACCCCTTCCCCCCCCCGCACGCCCCCCACCCACCTCCACACTCCGTGGAGTAGCTTTCTACATTAAAAAACACCCCGGGCGATATCTACAATCCCCTAGGTAGACTCGGCCTTAAACGAGTCCCTGGTGAGACGTGGAAACAGCAGCACTTAGGAAGAGAAAGGCGATCGGGCGTGTAGCTGCCCACCACCCCCTCCCCCCCACCGCGCTAGGTCGACTCAACCCTAAATGAGTACCTGGTGTGGCGTGTACACATTAGCACTGGGGATACAAAGACGACCGGACATGCGTGGTGGCCACCAACCCCCACGTGTGATGTGCCCGCTGTTCAGAGGTGCACGCTAACCGAACTTGCCCCAAAACGTGTGTTAAGGCTATACGGGGGGTCTTTGTCTTTGTGTGTTGTTTGTGGACAGGACCCCGACACTCCCACGGCGCCATGTTCCAACGACACCAGCTGCCGACCAGGGGAACGAGACCAACTCTACAATGGTATGGCTGGGGGCATGGCTGGGGGCATGGTTAGGGGCATGGTTAGGGGCATGGCTGGGGGCATGGCTCGGGGTATGGCTGGGGGCATGGCTCGGGGCATGGCTCGGGGTATGGCTGGGGGCATGGCTCGGGGCATGGCAAGGGGGGTATGGCTGGGGGCATGGCTAGAGGCATGGCCAGGCAGGCATGGCTCGGGGCATGGCTGGGGGCATGGCTCGGGGCATGGCAGGGGCATGGCCAGGCAGGCATGGCTCGGGGCATGGCAAGGGGGGTATGGCTGGGGGCATGGCTAGAGGCATGGCCAGGCAGGCATGGCTCGGGGCATGGCAGGGGCATGGCCAGGCAGGCATGGCTCGGGGCATGGCAAGGGGGGTATGGCTGGGGGCATGGCTAGAGGCATGGCCAGGCAGGCATGGCTCGGGGCATGGCTGGGGGCATGGCTCGGGGCATGGCAGGGGCATGGCCAGGCAGGCATGGCTCGGGGCATGGCAGGGGCATGGCCAGGCAGGCATGGCTCGGGGCATGGCAGGGGCATGGCCAGGCAGGCATGGCTCGGGGCATTGCCAACTAAGCGTCCTCGTCGCAAATACGACTCATCCTGCTTATTTACAAAAAGTATAGATGAACGTAAACCTCTCACTATTGTCCACACCGATACCACCACACCATCCAGCTATCTATACATATATACAGTACAGTATACCAATACATACACTTCAATGTCGACCTACCTATGTTAATATTTACCCACCTCTCTGCCCTGCAACCTACCATACCAGCCACCAACACAATACACCCATCCACATCCAGCCACCTAATATCTACCCGCCCACACCCATGCCCACTGAACGTCCCATCCACACGCATACCCATCCACATACCGACTTACAACCCACATTCACATTTCACGCCGACCCACCGAATTTTAAACCAGTCACCCACCTGCTCACACACGCACCCACCCATCCACCTAACCATTAATTCAACTAACGAACCCACTCACCCACACCGACCCACTGATCCACCCAGCCACCAACCCACTCCCTTGTTGACTCACTTACCCAGCCATCTACCCATCCACTCAACTGCCCACATAACCACTTTGCGCAAGAGCGCAGAAGTGTGGTTACCACATCTACGCCTCTATGTAAGGAACGACACAGGTGTACTCCACAAATATGTCTGTCGCCTGATGAAGCTAGTTGTAATTACTGGTGAAACGTCGTACTCAGATTGTAAATGTTGTGGCTTGGCTCTCCAACACACCGATTAGTGCTATACTAGTGACGAATTGGCATGTTCTGTTTACGTGAAAACCCTTACAAGTTGGCTGTGTCGGTATGTGGCGGGCTTTAATGACACATTTTAATATATTTACGCGATATAACCCCCAAAAAACTCTGTTATGGATAACCACCTGCCCTGCTCCCCCCTGCCCTGCCCCCCCCTGCCCTGCCTTGCCCCCCCCCCTGCCCCCCCCCCCTGCCCCAGGAGTGAAGACGGGCCGCTGCTCGGGCAACAGGGGGCAGGGCACGTGTGAGGTGTTCGCCTGGTGCCCCGTGGAGTCCGAGGGACGCAACGCCAAGTATGGGCGCGCAGAGAAATCCGCGGAATCCCCAGAAATCCGCGGAATCCCCAGAAATCCGCGGAATCCCCAGAAATCCGCGGAAGCCTAGGAGCCCATTGCGCGCACGCGAAGTCGTTACAAAATGACATGTATTAATGTATACACATACACGATTACTGTATCGATGCACACAACATTAAAGTAAATATATTTTTTTCTAGATGTGTATCTAATGGAAATGTAACGATTCATATACAGGGTGCTTCAAATTGTTTTTAACACTTCTGAGAATTTGCAACAATACCACAATAAATGTGCCGTCTCCGGGCTCTGAAGACCACCTGGAGAAGATTCCAGGCACGCGTTGACAATGATGGCGAACAAGTGAAGGCTCTTTGACTTTTTAAAGCTGTTAACATCACATTTGTTATCACGTTACAATGTATTAACCGTTCTCTTTCCATTAACAACGATAGTCCCATAGACGTGTTAACACCTTTTTGAAGCACCCTGAATGTGTAAATATTGTTGGTCTCATTGTGTGGCTACAAGCATTGAGGCGCTTTCCTTTTTGATTTGCGGCTTCATTCAATGAGCCAGATCACGTGACCCCCCCCCCCCCAACGATTTAATTATCTCTCCCCTCGCCCTCTCCCTTCTTCCCCCCCACTACCACCTGCACACAGGTACACCCTCTTGGCTGAGGCCGAGAACTTCACCATCTTCATCAAGAACAACATTCGCTTCCCCAAGTTCAACTTCTCCAAGTGAGTTCCCGTCGGAGCTGTCCAGTGCTGATCTGCCTCTTCGTGTTCAGTTGGTTGTCCTTCCCCTGCACTTCCGATTAGCACGGTTGGCTGCGTACGGTGCGAAAGAAGTTCAACTTACATACATGCGGTCGGGATCCAAAATAAAGTCCTGACTGGGATGGATAAATGAGTGTTGGGCTGCGTGTGGGAGGCGAAGCGGAGCGACCCGGAGGGTACCCGTCGGGCTATGCGAGGAGGCGAGCGAAATCTGACGCAGGCGTTCGCGTTATCCGTAGAATGGCCACCCCATAGCCTCGAGAACGACAACACCCCCCGCATTCTCCGACGCGGCCTCTAATCCGAGTGCTTGACTCCAACCCAACTCTCCACATGTGGCTCACTCGCGTCCCTTTTCCGAACTTCATCGCGCGAGCAATGCCCTTACCGTACGCGACGCATTTGCATGCACGATGCATTTACGGCATCAGCTGCTGCTGCTGCTGTTGTTCGATCAATAAAACCCCCTGACCTATTGACCTTGAGGGGCAATGAGTTCACAACCAGGCCAAGGTCCCATCGTGGTCAAACCCATGCGTACACACAAGACAAAGACGCAGGCCCCATGTATGGCCTTCACAGACGGTCGGAGCAAGTGCTGTTAGCGAGGAGGGGGTGGAGGATCTTCCGCGTTCCAGTCGCCAGAAACGTCACCAACCCCAGCGACCAAAACACCACGACGCTTGGTCCGGACTGAGGTCACAGAACAACGTTGAGATGAGAACTCGTGCACAATGGTTACATCGGGGGGGGGGGGGGGCAGGTTGCATGTGGTGTTGTAGAGTGTGGGTGCTCCCACCCTCCCTGATCCCCGCGCTGTCGGCTGGGGTGCAGGGGCAACCTGCGAGATAACATGCCCAAGACCTACCTCCAGTCGTGCAAGCACGACGCCCGGCACAACAACTACTGCCCCATCTTCCGCCTGGGTGACATGTTGAAGAGGGCTGGCCTCACCTACCAGAAGTTCTCTAAAAAGGTACAGTCCCCAGCGCGCGCCCACATACACACACACGCACACGCGGGGACGCACACGTACAGAGTACTCATTTACTAGGCCCGGTGCTGATACGACTTGTCACTGATGGTAGTCTTTGGCTTGGAATCGAACTCAGGTTCCGTAGGCTTCGTAGTGCGGTGCACGACCCGCTGAGTCTCCGCTCCAACTTACACAATCGCACACACACACAAACGCACGTGCAGAGACAAACATGTGAACATGCGAAGGACAAAGGATAGCCTTCAGACGGTTGGGGTAAGTGCTGTTAGCCGGTTCAGCACACGGGGGTGGGATGGGGTGGCCAACACCAATCCCGGCCGCCTTTGTTTCCCCAGTGCTGATGTTTACGCACCGGCACCAGGCACCAATTTAAGGCTGAGTCGACCTAAGGGAGGCTCAGGTCCGATTCATATGTTCACCGTTATTATTGATCGTGAGTTGGAATCAGACTCGGGTCGCCGGGTTCGTAGCGCAGCGCGCTAACCACTACACTACCGCTCCCCACACACAGACACACACAGTCACACATGCGTGTATCTCGCGCGCCGTGTTAGTGTTAACTTGCCAAATGCGAGCGCGTTCGTGACGATTTTTTGTTCCCAATAAAAGCTTCGGGCCACTGAACCACATCAGAAGCTGGGAAGGGAAATTGCCCGAATCGTTTGGCGGCGCCGTAAATGTGTCCAGCTGCTCAATCGGTCACGAGAGGCCGCGTTCATTCCATCGCCGACTGCCAGAGCGTTCGAAACAACATCGCTGTTTACGCACACAGCGGTACACAAACAAAGGGGGTGACCCTCGTTATAATTCATTGCCTTGCACCACATTTAAAAAATATCTTGAACCGGTAGAACATTTTTTGTGGTTTCATGGCAATGCCATCGCAGCGCTTTCAGATGCGCATCGGCGGCTGTCTGGAATGGAGATCTGTGGAACAGAGCTTCAAAGCCAGTCTCAACGCATTTTCTGATTCTGATTCTTCCTTCCGATATTAGGAAAGCCCGCACGTGGAAATCATCTCGGCTGACAACTCATTTCTTGAGAACTGCTTTCTTTCGCGCGTGTTGGCTTGTTGTCCCTCGCCCGCGCCTTCGGTTAGCGCCGTTGGCTACGTACGGCGCGGAAGAAGTTCAACGCGCACGCACACGCACGCACACACAATGCATTTGTTTCTCAACGCAGTGCCCCATCCCTGGCCATTGACTCGAGTCCACCCGAAACCAGAGCCCGCGCCTCTCCACGGCTGTGAGGATTTCGTCCGCGTGGTGTCAACACCAGCGACAGATCTCCTGAGAAAGACTGAAATAGCCCCACGACACCTGGTGGCTGTTGACGGAATTCTGTTAATTACCCGCGTAAACAATTGTAATGCGCGATTTTATTGAGGAACTGCGTCGTTGTTTTCGCGTGGCCTTGGCACTGATCTTGGTGTTTTTGCTGCTTTGCCAAAGCTTGTATTTAGCGTTGAACACTCGTCAGGAGTGTACGCACTAATGCATTTTGGTACTTATATATACGTTACCTATGTTTTTTGTATTTATTTTGAGTGACTTGCCTACCGTTTCTCTATTATGTACTCATATCGGTTGTTGTTGTTGTTGTTGTTTTGTTTGCCGTCGTAAATCATTTACCCGCCCCTGCTGGGACACCTGTGAAAAAAGAGCTTAATAGCTCATCGGATTTCTCCAGGATAAATAAAGAGTCTGATGATGATGATATTTCCACTCCGCCTGACTTCCGAGCTGCGGAACCCAGGCCAGCCGGCCAGCCCCACGAAGTGAAATCGGCTCCAGAGAATTCGAGCCGCATAGCCACGGGCTCACGGCCCACGTGCTGACCTGGGACATCTCTGAAAAAAAAAGCTTCATAGCTCATCGGATTTCTCCTCCTGCTGCCGGAATCAAGATTCTGATTCTGAGTCGAGAAAACACCGTGGGTAGACCACGCGCTGCCGGCACGGCAAACTCGAGTTCGTATGTGCGTATGTATGTATGTATGTTGAACTTCTTTAGCACCGTACTTAGCCAACCGTGCTAATCGGAGGTGCGCAGTTCACACTCGACTCGTGTGGCATTGACCGCGGTGACCTTTTTGACCCGAACGTCTAACCTGTGTGTGTGTTGTGTGTGTTGTGTGTGTGTGGTGTGTGTGTTGTATGTGTGGTCTGTGTGTGGTGTATGTGTTGTATGTGTGTGTGGTGTGTGTGTGTGGTGTGTGTGTGTGTGGTGTATGTGGTGTGTGTGTGTGGTGTGTGTGTGTGTGGTGTGTGTGTGTGTTGTGTGTGTGGTGTGTTCTGGGCGCGGTGCTTCTGCAGGGCGGGGTGCTGGGAGTTCTAATCAGCTGGACGTGCGACCTGGATCGCGGCGCGGACTCCTGCAACCCCATGTACTCATTCAGACGCCTCGACAACGGGGCGGGCTACAACTTCAGGTGCCCTCCCTCCCCTCCCATCTCATCCCATCCCATCCCCCTCTCCGATCCCCTCCCTTCCTCCGTTCCCCCCTCCTTTCGAAACACAACCACATCCTTTAACATCATGAGGCCTCCTTTGCCAGTACCAAAATATAATAATAGTTTTTTTCCCCCTTTTTTCTGGCCACAAAACTGAAACCTTTTAACAAGGAATCATGTTTACATTAACCACAGCGTAATAACACGATACAAGTTTAAAAAGGTACGTTTTTAGATTTAACTTGAAATTGCAGATTGAATAGACGACGATGATGACGACATGAAAATTACATGCAAATTACATGCAAATCTTGTGCAACATCTGTGGGTGCGGGGACGCCGGTGCCGCGTGGTGCAGGTACGCGCGCTACCACGTGCTCCCCGGCGGCGTTGAGGCGCGCACGCTCGTCAAGGCGTACGGCATCCGCGTGGACATCGTCGTCTCCGGCGAGGTGTGCGCGGCTCCCACTCGCCCTGCTCCCACCCCACCATCTCCCACACCCCGTCTCTCTCTCTCTCCCTGATCCCATCGTTCCAATCCATGCGTTCTCCCACCGCGGCAGTCATACCTCCCCCCCCCGTCTCTCTCCCTCTACCAACGTCTCCCACCCCGTCATATTTCTCCCCCATCTTGCATCACGCGTTACCCTACCTACTCTCTCGCACTCACGTCTCCCTTGCCGGCTCCAACCCACGCGCATTCGCCCACGCTCTGTCTCCCGCCCACGAATCATCGACATCTTCATCATCATCACGACCCATGGGCAGATAGCCCGTAGGTGCACACTGCACATTTCGTAAAAAAATTTCCCCATATTCCCTTGTCTTGTGCCAAACTTTCTGAAAAAAAAAAATCACCATTTCCGCAGCTCGGGCCGCAGGTGGCGATGCCGTCGTACGTTCGGCTGTAAGAGGCCGTCATCTCTCATCATGTAGCTCCATGCCCGTGGCTCTGTGTCCCGGCCTGTACCTCGCAACATGGAATATAATCTTCATCATAACCCTGCCCCTAATTTACTTTTTTTTTAAACTATATATATATTTTATTTTACCAGTTAAGGCCAAACTGAGCTATGCAGCTCTTTTTTCAGAAGCGACCTGGAAATCGCAAATGATAGCTCAACGAAGTGGCTTACCATGTTGAAGTTTATATCAGCCAAATATTCTAAACGCGTGATGTTGATTCTAAATGTGGAGGGGGAAAAACCGGAGGACCCGGAGAAAAATCGACGTGACCACGGGGAGAGAGAGAGAGACACGAACTCCACATATAGAGAGGCCGTCAGAGCCGGCATGGAACCCACGACCTCGTGCACACCTGGCGAGGGAGATAACATCTCACCAGCACGGCGCCCTAAATGTGTTCCTCTCTCGCCCCCCTGTACCCCCCTCCATGCCCCCCCCCCCCCCAGGCGCGCAAATTCTACATCATCCCCACCATCATCAACCTCGCCGCTGCTCTGACCTCTGTCGGGGTGGTGAGTTCTGACAGCACCGCCGCGCTGCGGTTAAGGCGCAGCCCTGCAAGTGCAGGTGGAAGGGTGGAATGGAGTCCACCCGAGAATGGTATTTTTGGCCTCATCATCATATCTACGATGGCCAGGACGTCTTGGGAAGCGGTGGGAGTAGCCACACTTTACCCCACCACCGTCACGCGTGACTCTGCCGATCGACTGGTGGTACCCATTTAGACTGCTCTGTGGACATAGCAAGGTGGGGGGGGGGGGTTAAGAAACGTGCCCAGTGATATCACCAGCCCGGACTATCCACAGCTGGATGACGGCCTTCCTGTGCCAAGGCCATACCTCATGATCATCACGGAAAATTACGAATCGGCATTGAATGGTGACGAATCGATATTGCATGATGGTTCCAGAATCGATAATGAAAGATGATGGTGGTGGTGGTGGTAGTGGTGATAGTAAACTATAAACGAAACTTTTTAGATTTTACCAGGTAAGGCCGACTGAGCCATATAACGCTTTTTTCAGAAGTGTCCTGGCCACAAACGACATCTCAACGAAGCGGCTTATCACGTGGAAATGTTTCGCGGCCAAACACTCTAAACACGTGATGTTGATTCTAAATGTGGAGGAGAAAAAACCGGACGACCCGGAGAAAAATCCAGAACACGCAAACTCCAAATATACAGCAGCAGGCGTCAGGGTCGGGATCGGACCCACGACCTCCTGTATACCGGGCGAGGTAGCCAACATCTCCTAGCCACCGTGGCGCTGATGATGACTACGACGGCGGTTTGGACTATCCGCGTGCGCGTGCAGGCCTCGGTGATTTGTGATTGGCTGCTGCTGAACACCATGAGGAGACGCAACATCTACCGCATGAGCAAGTTCGAGGAGGTGAGCGGCGCTCCGCATGCGTCCCTCGGGGGGGGGTCGTCGTTGTTTGACTTGCATTCCACTGGGATTTTTGCACATTTTTGTGTACAGTGCTTTTTCTGCAATATTTTACTGTCTTTTCTTGGATTTTCTGTTTGCACTCAGTCACATATTCACTTTAAGATGTTTTTTGTTCATGTTTTTGTTTTTTGTTTGTTGCGGTTGCACCCGATTCAAGAGCCGAATGGCTCACAGGGCTATACCTAATAAATGAACTTGAACCTCGAGGCGGTCGCGCTGCCCCACGGCGGCTCTCCCCCGGTTCGCCTTTTTCCGGGTCGTGCCGCAAGGTGCCGGGCACGACGTCCGACGTTTCGCCGCGCGTGCCGAGAGGGGGGGAGGGGCGGAAGTGAATTACAGCGGGCTCGAGGGAGGAGGAGGAAGGGGGGGGGGGCATACCTCCAGGATTAAATACGGCGAGGTTTAAGGCCACCTCGTCGAGCTAACGTCGCTTTGTGCCGGCGCACGTGCGCCACGCAGGTGAACGAGGGCACGGCGCCCAGGGCCGAACTCTCGTCGCTGCCGTCGCGGGAGCTCGCTGGCGGAAAAGCGGACGCGCTCTCCAACGGGTTCTCCACGGACGACTCAATGCTGTGAGGAGGGCCGCACCGGCCTCCGGGCCGGCCTCCGGACCGGACCGGTTCTTCATCCGTACGAGAGGAGATGGCCGCAGGGTGCCGAGTCGTGGACCGGGCGAATTGGGCGATTGCGGTTAAAGAGCAGAGAATTGAAACGCCGTCAAAGGTCAATAGGTCAACACGACCGGTGCCGTCAATGTCACCCCACATCAGCCTCCTTCTACCAGATCTCGAATTCGTGGCGAAGGTGACACCGGGCCAACGGTGTCAGCTCTTATGGCCTCATCATCATCACCTTCATCACCATCATCGCCATCACCATCACCAGTGTCTGGCTTGAGTGCTTCCCATTGATGGCCGACCTCTGAGTGCCAGTCACGGTGACCCGCCTTCCTCCTCCTCCACCCTGCACACCACGTGTCTCTTCCTCCCATGGTAACTCCCTCATCCTGATGTCTACAACGCTCTGTGGCCACGCTCTATTCACAGCCTACGAGTTACATTACCCCGCCCTCCACCCATCACGACCACGCGTCCCACCCATCGCGTCCTCCTCCTCTTCCCGCCACGTTCTACTCCAAACCTCCAAATTGTCTACCCCCATCCCGCGATTACATTCCCAGCCACATCCACAAACCCGACGTTGCCTCGCATTAGCGCGGTTTTGCTACGTACGGTGCGAAAAAAAGTGCAACATGCATACGTGGCAGTCGTATAGAACGGGCGGCTCTACTCTACACTGGGGGAAGTGGGGGCGGGGGGGGTGTAGAGGGCAGGGTGGGGGGGCTTTCCCGTGTCAAAATCCTGGGGGGGGGGGGGGCTCGCAGGGGGGGGGGGGTGTGTGGGGGGGTTGTAGTCGCCAACTGTCAGCGACGTCCGTGCAGTCCACGTGTGTCACTCGCGCTGTTCCGTTCCTGTTCGCTGTTCGCTGTACGACGAGCTGCTTAGTTCCCAATGTAATCTCGCCTTTGACGAAGGCCCAGTGCCCCCCCCCCCCTCGTCCTGTCCACCAAACCTTATCAAGGCTGTAATGTTTCTACTTTAATGTTTCTACTTTAGACGAAGCTCCGCAGGCATAGCCTTCACAGGCTGTAGGGGCAAGAGCTGTTCGCGAGCACCTGTTAAGGCCGGAACGGCACACTATGGGCGTGGGTAGGTGGCGAGTGCCGCGCCCGGCAGCCTTTGTCTCTCCAGTGTTCATGTACACACACCGCTCCATGTACTCTGCGGCCGTCTGGAAGGCTCTTCCTTCCGATATTAGGAAGCCACTGGAGCTATGCACTTTTAAATCATCATCTAGATTAAAACTAATGTCTTTAGAACTGCGTTTCGTGTTTAGTTTGTTGTCCTTCCCCGCACCGCCGATGAACACGGGTTGGCTGCGTACGATGCGGAGGAAGTTCAACGTGCATACGTATTTAAGGCCGAGTCAACCTAGAGGGACAAGGCCAAGGAGGGGGTTCAGATATTCGTCGCCGATGTTGACCACGAGCGGGGAATCGAGCCCGGGTGGTCGGGTTCAGCAGCGCAGCGCGCTCACCGCGAGGCGCCGTCACGCGGCAGACACACGCACACGTGAGCCACCGCTAGCGGGAAGGGGTTGATGGAGCTGCCGTGTGGACGACTGGCACGGAGATAAGACGTGGGGCTAAAGGTACGGGGACATTTGATCTCGCAGTGGATAGAGAATGGGTGATGGCGAGTCCATTGAAAGCATCGACCTGTATTCGCGGAAACGAGACGGAGAGAACGAAACACAAACCCACAATAATAATAATCGATTCCGAATCGAATCGTGACAATTCATCGTAATCAATTCATGTAGCAGCTCCCGGCGCGCGGTTCCGAAACGTCGGACATCGTTGCCGAGCGACGTTAAATCTCCATGGAACAGCACGCACGACCAAGAAAGGCAAACTCGCTACTCGGCTACTCTTGACGCGTGCGATGTATTTAATCACAACATTATCTGCGTACACGTAACCGAGATGCGCTTGCGTTCACCGTAGTTACAAAAGGTGTACCTAGCCTGGCACAAGCGCCGTGGTGACGTCGCCGCCACTTAGTTGTTGTTAGTGGTGGTAACAATGCGAAGACGGAGGAGGGCAGAGGGCATGGGACGGCTTGCTGAACGGGTCGCATAGACAGAGGGACGAGATAATGCGCGCGCGTGCGGGTGCGTGTGTGCGTGTGTGTAAGTAATATCCACAGTAATAAAGCAACGCTGTACACGTACAGCCCTTTTGTCAATGCACTGCTGGATGAGGGCCCACTTCACACTACCTTAACGTATTGTTTCAATGTGTGTACAATCATCTTGAGATGGGGGTCATAGTTTACGAATTACAATCTCAGACGTCTGCAACTAACACCGTCATTTTTCAACGAGGGGCTTCGATTTGTGTTTTTAATTCATTCAATAAATGCCAACCGCTATTTCAGCCGGAGCTGCCCGGGGCTGAGCTCCGGAGCGTGGCCACGTGTCCGATGGGGCCCCGCGCGTGCCAGCTTATCGACTGTTGTTGCTCAGGGATGGCGCGTGCCACAGCAAACACCAGTCTGATAAGCTAACGCGCACGACACACTGACACAAACTCCACTCTATAGTCAACTCGAAGCACATTATCAGTATTGATCATCGTATTCATCATTATCATTTGTCATCAGGTCATGATGCCGATCGTGACGATGACGATCATCATCAGCAGCATGATGATCATCAGCAGATGTATCGTAGTCGTCTTCATCATCATCATCCGCGACCGGACCGTCGTTCTGTTTCCGCCCGACTCCACTCCTGTGTGGGTCACACGCACAAGACATTGGCACACGTTTAGAGTTCTCTTATATAGCCTCGAGGGTGAGAGCGTGGGTGGGTGGGTGCGTGAGTGGGAGGAGTGGTGGCGCAGCGGTTAGCGCACTGCGCTATGAACCGGGCGGACCTCCGGCCTGAAATCCCAATATCCTAACTGGTCCCGTCCCGGGCCACCTAAAACCTGTAAGCCGCACTGATCAGAGCGGTGAAGTATGGTCAAAACAACATCGCGGTCAAACAATGTGCTGCCGAAGTGTGATTAAAGTCAGACGCACGCGCCTTTAAAATGAACGTTAATTTAATCGAAATTTCACCACCGATGCCACCGATTTAGCACGTTCCTCGTATTATTGTTAATTGTAGGGTAACATCTAATTATTCTATTTTTTTAACCCACGACCCCTCCCCCCCCCTCTTTTTTACTGGGCATCTGTGAAAAACAGAGCTTCATAGCTCATCAGATTCCTCCTGCAGTCTGAGAAATGTTCCGATCGTGAAACGTCGGACTCTCCAATCGATCGCGCGACCGTTCAAACGCACGGCGATTCGACGAATGTTCGCCGCAAATCGAACAATCGATCCATCGATCCATTTGCCGTGCCCCGTGACGCCGCCTCGCGTCGCCGTTGCCACCCCGTTACCGAATCGACGGGAACGCCAGGCGGTGATCGAGGCCCTGACACGAGCTTGGATCGACCGGCATAAAAGGCGGCGTGAGCCCCCTCCCCCCTCTCCCCCTTCATCACCTCCCGGTACCTTCAGAAACCCGCGCTGACCGGCGTGGTGAAGTATGGTCAAAATCATCCCAACGGATGATGGAGGCCCTCATCCAGCAGTGGATTGACCAACGGCCTCCCACCGTGAGCCCCTTAGGGAGCAAAGGTCACCGCCTCCTTGCTATTGTTCTCTCGTCTCACGTGCACACGTCGACGGCTAATTTGCATAAATTTGCGTATAATTTCATCCAATGAAACAGCGTTGCTTGTCACGCGAGCTGCTCACGATGCATTTGACGTGAGCGTTAACAATCAATAATAATAATCGATTATCGAGATGCCCGGTTACACAGCCCGGTTCTAACGAACTCGTCCCACGTGCATCGATCGGCGTGACGGACGCACGTGGCGTGCTGCTCACAGGAGCTGTACTCCGCTACAGTCCGGTGCTCTACACACGGACTCGTCTTCTTCCGGGGGCTGAGCTCCGGAAAATATCCCCCCCCCCCCCGAAACCCAAGCCGGTCAGGGGAGCCCTAAGAATATTCCATTCTGCGCTGACACACAAATGAACAGACCGCCCCCCCCCCACTCCAAACCTGTATATCCCTCGAGACCATACTTCACCACGCTGGTCAATGCTGGTGAAGGGGAGTGCCCAGGAACGATTCAGAATCGGAATCTGTATTGATACTGGAGCAGGAATCCGATGAGCTGTAAAGCTCTTTCCCACAGATGTCCACTCGGGGCACCGGGTAAGAACGCGAGACCGTTCGCCGTGACCTGCGATCTAACTCAGGTTACCGGTTTCGTGGCGCAGCGCGCCCACCGCAGAGCCCCCACGCCGCACCACGCGATATTCGCCTCCGTCCCCTGCACAAGAGGTGAACTTCGCCTGCAGGGCCTGGCGCCGACCTTGACCCCGGAGTCAAGGTCGGCCTTGAGCCAGTGGTTAAAAATTCCACATTCTCATGGCGGGGGCGAACATCACCATCGGACAACCGCTCTGGACTTCCGACAAAGTGGTACTCTCGTTTTATCGACCCGTTTCTACCCCCCCCCCCTCCAAACCCTCACCGCCGCCCCACCCACACCGACACACGTGGACTCGTCACCATCGAGAATGTAAGTTGGACGCTCCCACCACGTGACCACCCGGACTGGTTCCTTCGTAAAACAATCATTCAAACACACACACATATTAAATGTGCGTGCGTGTGTAGTCTGTGTGTGTGTACCTGTATGGTTATGTGTGGTCTGTGTGTTGCAACCCTGCGGCCCAAGTTCAATTCCCGGCCACGGCCAACATCAGTGGCGCGGGAGTGGTACACGAGCCGCGCTCCTGGGTGGATTCATCCTGAAACTCGTCCATGTGGCACGCGGCGTGGTCGGGCGTGGTGGTGTTGGCCACACAATTGAGCCTCAACAGGTGCTCGCTAACTAAAAAGCGGGCTCCAAACAGCCTTTGCAGGGCTATCGAGTGTGGGTGGTGTGGGTGGTGAGTGGGGTGAGTGGTTGCGCGAGTTGCAGATTGCTGTGAAATACCGAAACGACGTGGAGTCTTCGCATCACGAGCGGAACCACGGCCGTGGACACACACACACCTGTGTCTGTGGGCACACCTGTGCGTGTGTGTGGGCGAAGATCCAGCTGCATCGCCTTTTTAAACCCAAGACCCCCATCATCACCCTCCCACCCTATCCCCGTCGGCCCTCTCTCACCTCGTCTCTTTTTTTCCCTTCGCGCCCGGGACCAACCGGATTTAACCGGCCCAGGAATGTCACGACAACCCAGGTTACGATTGGATCTATAGACCGACTCGGTCTCTCCCCCTCTCTCTCTCTCTGTCGTCCGCCCGTGCCTCCGTCTCGCTTCACCTGCACGCACCTGGACTCGCACAACCGCTCTGGCACGCACTGTACGCTTGTACCGGTTCTGGTGCCTCCTTTAGATCGACTCGGCCTCGAAACAGTACCTGCTGCTGCTGTTGCTGTGCGCCGTGCCGGCCTTCATAGGCGCTCGCCAACAGCCCTTGCCCCCGACAGTTACATGCTATACAGGGGAGCTTTGGCTTTGTATGTTATGTGTATGAGGAAGCGATTGTGTTTGTGCATGTGTGCACCTAGCCTGGCACAAATGCCTCGGTGGGATCACCGCCAAGTAGTGGCTAAGGTCCGCCAATTATCGTTGTTGTTATTGTTGAATTGCAGCTGATGTGCCTGCAATTAGGAGAGAGGCATTAACCACGGGAATCCTCCAAGGCACACGGCAGGAGGAGGCAATGACATGCAGTATTTTTTATTTTATTTGACCAGGTCTAAGACCCCCACTGAGCTACGTAGCTCGGTTTCAGAAGCAACCTGGCTATCACAAATGATAGCTCAACGAAGTGGCTTATCACGTGGAAATTTATAGCAGCCAAATACTTGAAACGCACGATCCTAAATGTGGAGGTGGAAAACCGGAGGACCCGGAGAAAAATCCACGCGACCACAGGGAGAGAGAGACACATAAACGCCAAATATACAGCAGCCGGCGTCAGGGTAGGGATCGCACTCACGATCTCCTGTGTACCAGGCGAGGTAGTTAACATCTCCTAGCCGCCGCGGCATCTCTTGTGTCTACAATGAGCATGGCTACAATGTAGCTAGTGATTACTAACATGGGTGAAACTGGTACACGGTACGGCTGTTTCATTGTCTCCTGCTGCTACTGCTGTGGGAAATAGTGGCTAGGAGACGTTAACTACCTCGCCTGGTATACAGGAGGTAGTGGGTTCATTCCCGACCCTGACGCCTGCTGCTGTATATTTGGCGTCTGCGTGTTTCTCTCTCCCCGTGGTCGCGTGGATTTTTTTCTCCGGAACCTCCGGGGTTTCCTTCCACGTTTAGAATCAACGTGCGTTTAGAATATTTGGCTGCGATAAAGTTGCACATGATAATAAGCCATCTTGGTTGAGCTATCGTTTGTGGCCAGGTCACTTCTGAAAAAGAGCTACATAAACTAATAAAAAATAAAGTTTATAGTTTAGTACTGGCACAGGGTAAGGTGGTGTCACGTGATGTGCAGGGCATGGTAGCATGACCGATCTTGGGGTCACAATTGCGACTACTGCTGTCTAGAAATCTGAATTTTCTCTTTTATTATTTTTCTTGGAGGTGTAGATTTATGTTTCTGGCCACGGTCGTCAGTGGCATGGCACTTTCCAGTAAGCATTGGCCCTGCGTGCAATGATATATTTTTTATATATGGTATTTAAACAACTCTATTTAACCCATTACAGTACAACAAAGGTTGAGAATGCAACCTTTTTACTTTGAAAATCTGCACTGCACATCGAATTGAGTAACTACATCCAAATGCCATTGCACACTTCCCATGCATATTGATTTTCCCGATCATTTGCCAACGTTTACCCAACGTTACACACCTCATATTAGCACGGTTGGCTACGTACGGTGCGAAAGAGGTTCAACGTTACACCTTTATGACTGCTGTGGCATCTACTAAATTCGACTTTACGGGTGTCCAGCGCGTATTTATGTTTGCTCACGATGTTAATGCTTTTTTTCGAGGGAGGGCGTGGAGCAGGAGGTTTGAGTTTATGTTTTGACTCGGCTCATAATCTCGGGTGGTGGGTGAGTTGGGAACTGGGGGAGGCATGGGGTGGCTGTCCCTATCTGATACCAACATCGAATTTAAACAAAGGCGACCACGTCTTTCCCAGCCGTGTTTGTTTAGTGGCTCCGCGCCGTCAGACTTAACCGGTGCCCGCCAAACAGAGCCGAGCAGCACCCCCGGTAGGCCCCATCGCAGCAGCCACGAGTCCACGCCGCTGACCACCCCGAGTCGAAACTTTTAGCGCCGCTTGTTTTGCTGCGACGCGTCTGGGATCCTTACCTCCTGGTCAGTCACGTAACTAGCGAGGGGGGGGGTGCCTTGCCCCCGCCCCCCACCGCCCACCCCTGGTGGCCAAAGCTACGAGTTTGGCCCCCCTTAACAACCACCACGAGAAACGTTTTCAACGAGTGTCAAAAAAGTTAATTTATTTTCAACGCGATTCAATTTATATTCATGAAAAAAAATCTTTAATTCACGGTTCCGCGTTCGTTGTTTTAATGTAACGAGAGCGGTAACGTTTGGCCACCGTGCGAGACGAAATCAAAATATCGGGGGCCCCAACCTGACCCACGGCCGCAGCCACCCGCCCTGAGCTGATGATGACGTTACCAGGCCACAGGCTGCAGGCGGTGATATTTGCTGTGCCTCTCCTGCGCTCGTACCCCGCCCACCCTCACTCCTGCAACCTTGAATGAGTACGGTGCAGCGCTCTGTGAACATCGACACTGGGGAGACGAAGGCGGTCGCGGTGCGGGCGGTTGGTTCTGACCACGAACGCTTCCATACTCGCGTCCTTCCGGCCACAGCGGGCGCTGGCTGTCAGCACGAAGTGACCCCGTGCGGTCCGCGTCGGGGGGGATTTTGTGAGAATGAACTCAACTAAAACTAAACTTTTGATTTAAAGCTTTCGTTACTGCAGGGATTCATATTCTTGGTTATTTCGGTAAAGTCACGTAGAAGGGAAATAATAAAATAATAAAAATATTAAGCAATCAAATTCCCACGACGTTTCGACTGCAACACACGCAATCATCATCAGGTGTGAAATCCACAGCAAGAAAATTTTTAAAAATAAAATAAAATACATTTCCTGCTGTGGATTTCACACCTGATGATGATTGCTTGTGTTGCAGTCGAAACGTCGTGAGAATTTTATTGTTTAATATTTTTATTATTTTATTATTTCCCTTCTACGTAACTTTACCGAAAGAACCAATAATATAAAACTAAACTATTTCTTAAAAAGCTACACTGAACTATTTCTTATTTAAGAGCTACATAATTTTATTTTTCGGAAACGACCTGGCTGTCACACATTATACCTCAACGAAGTGGCTTATGACCGTGTGGAAATGTACAGCAGCCCCAAATACTCTGAACGCGTGATGTTGATTCAAGGAAAAGCCGGAGGACCCGGAAATAAATCGACGCGACCACGGCGGACACGCCAACTCCAAATATACAGCAGGCGTCGTCAGGGTTGGGGTGGAACCCACGACCTCCTGTGTACCAGGCGAGGTAGTCAACATCTGGGAGTGTCGTGGACCTCAACTGTGGTAAAGTTGACAAACATTTACGAGTAAGGCTATGGACACGGCACTGGGGATCTTTGTCTTTTGTGCACCTAACCTGGTACGGCCGTTGTTCATGTGTTCCGGGACCCTGTTCATCAAAATTGTAATGGGCCTCCGTCCCCTAGGTCGGCTCATCCTTGACCTAGGGACGTCGAGATGTGTCAAAGAGGTGGGCTGAGCACGTGACCACCGTGTGCTCGAGTCGCGTGTTGTTTGGCGAATTTTGCCTCTTCTTATCAGATGTTTGGCCACATATTTCCCCAAATCGCCATCACTCAACAGTGAGACAAGTCACCAATTCTCGAATTGTTGTTGTTTGTAATCACCGGGTCAATCTTTTTTTTAAAATACTGTTTCAAGTTTTTGGAATGCAAAATTACCTTTATAGACAATTCCCTGCCTTAGTTACACCATAGCCACACCTGAGTCTTACATGAGTTCTTATTTGAATCTCAGTCTCACCTGAAACTTACCTGAGTCTGAGTCCTACCTGAGTTTTCTCTGAATCTCAATCTTCTCAGTTCCACCCGTGCTGAACCCGAGTCTTTCTCACCTGAGACCAAGCCTCACCTGAGCCTCACCTGAGCCTCACCTGAGCCTCACCTGAGGAGTCTCGCCTTCGCACGACACTGTACGCGCGGGTGAGCCTCGTGGGGGGGGGGGGGTAGGCGGTCGGCAGCGGCGGCGGGGGGGCTACAAAAATGTGGAATAAAAATAATAAAATATCACAAACGTTAAACAAAAGTAGCCGAGACATGAGGGCAGGAACGCGGTGTTCCTCTCAAACGGCGCATGTCAAAGCACGGGGGTCGATTCGGGATAAGGGTCGATCGAGGGGGAGGGGATCCCACCTACCTGGACCCTTGCTTTCTATCCCCTCTCACCCCCTACCCTCGTAGCTTGGCGGTTGGGGTGGTGGAGGGGGGTCATCTCTGAGTGTGGTGGTTTTCTTCAAAGTAATACAAATGCATAACAGACACAAGCAGATCGTATCGCGACGTGTTCAAACCACCTCCAAGATCTCCAGCAGCAACACCGCACTGCAGGTCACAACAATACACTCACTCACCCACTCACTCACTCACCCACTCGCTCACCCGCTCATTTATTCACTCATTTACTCACCCACTAACTCACCCACTCACTCACCCGCTCACTCACCTATTCACTCACCTACACAAACAAGCACTACCTACCCACTCACTCACCCACCTATTCACTCACCCACTCACACACTCGCCCACACACTCACTCGCCCACTCACACGCTCGCCCGCTCACTCGCTCACTCGCTCACCCGCCCACTCGCTCACCCGCCCACTCGCTCACCCGCCCACTCGCTCACCCGCCCACTCGCTCACCCGCCCACTCGCTCACCCGCCCACTCGCTCACCCGCCCACTCGCTCACCCGCTCACTCACCTATT